AAAAATGAAGAAAGAAAGAATCCTAAGTTTTAAGTTAAGTCTCAGCCAACTATTTTAGCCAACTATTTTCTTTGCCTAAGTATTAACTAATGCATAGCCCGTGCGATGCACGGAATAGAAAATTTTAATGTTATTTATCCAACCTTATTATTATATTTGTGAATAAAGAAAATTAAATAATTAGAATAAAAAATTAATACTACATATTATTAAAAGTCTTCTTGTAGACAACATTTTTTATCTTGAAGGTACACTTTCCTCCCTGCAAACTAATATTTTCAATCTATTCTATTCGTGACACAGAAAACAGATAAATACAGCTGGGCGTGACTGCACACCGATTTCATAAAAAACATGCTAACATGTGATAAAGACTGACTCTGACTATTGTTAATCAAATGGCGAATCTCGTGAACACCATGATCATCAATTAGCTTGGTAACATTCTTCAAAGTAGTTAATTGGTTATTAACTGAAATATAGACACATATTTAAATATACACGTGTTTGTTAAATATAAAAATAGATATTACAAATAGAATTATAATATAAATAAAAAATAAAAGTTTAACATCGTGTTAAATTATAAATATATTTGTTAAACGTTAAATATGTATTTTTAAATATATTTATATTATAATTAACAAAACATAAATATACTATAAACTAATTTAACAAAAATATCTCTCCATGGTTTTGTTTGGCAAAGATGAACAATGAGCAAATGTGGATGACGATCATTGTCATATTCATTTTCATTTTCTAAAAGCCGATCAACAAAATCACCACATAGTGTACAATCAATCTTGTTCCTCACGAATGTTCAATTAAATAAATCATTAAAATGATTATTAGAAAAAAAAACATATAATAAATAAAATAAAAATTGTTAAAATTGTCCATCATTGAGAGAAAACACAATCATTTGTGTTGGGACGCCATCAACCTCTTTAATTTGCATCGTTCTAATTTCAACAATCAGATCAATTACATCTACAATTAAATAGTAAATTAAATATTATTCAAAGCATTATCAATTATCCATACGAAAAAAATAAATACGACAAAACTAAATACATTAATCTACTAAAGAGCACTGTTTGATCTTGTCAAAGACAATAACGGAGAGTAGCAAAGCTTCAAAAATCACTAAAAATTATAAAAGTCTTCTTTGAGCCTAACCATGTTGGTCATACCGTGGATCACAGTTTTAAATTGTGTAATTGTTAGACAGAATGAGGCGTAGTTGTCTTCCACTTGATTTTTTTTAATCACATAGATTTATCCTTTTTTCACATTGTTCATCCATTTCTTGATATGAGCAACCTTTATGATTTCAGTAATACGGCCTCCCCTATAACAAACATTTAAAAAACATAAATAAGTATATAATGATTTTACTAATACACAAAATAAAAATAATAATGAAAAAATGAATTCAAAATAAATTATTTGTTCTCACCTCCTCAGAATTTCTAAGTAATTTTTGTATTTAGCAGGAAATTTATTTTCAATTATTCGAATTGCTTGCAACTTCATAGGTAGTTTCTTGGTTCTAGTGATTTTCTTGATCAAACTGAATTCGCACTTCATCTTGAATAGAATAAAGATAAAATTGGATACTTGAATATTAAAAACGAAACCAAACAAAGGATTACTACAAATGATCGAAAAAATGACTGAATTTAGAGCATCTCTAATGTGGCTTTTGACATTGTAAAAATTCATCCATATCATCAACTTTTAAAAGTGTGTTACTAATTTATTCTCCAATGCATCTTGTCATGAATTCTTTCATGATGAGGTAGATAGCATTTAATGTTGACAATGTTGAACACACATTCTAATATCTAACATCATGTTAAACATGACTAATCAATTCACTTTATATTTGATTTAATTTTTTATTGTTCTTGTATTAATGATTTTTTTAATTGGTCCACCTAATAACTTCTTATCAAACTGTTGCATTGGAGATAGTAGTTTGATTCAAATTTCTACTCTTTTAACATTATTCCTACATGGATTAACATTACAATCATTAATTGACATGTGTTAAAAATCATTGTCTTTCAAAGCTATAACATTGGAGATGCTCTTATAGGGGAAGAACAAAGTATAATTTAGTTAAGGGTAAATAATAATTTGCAACCTGTACTATACGCGAATTTGGGGTTTGCAACCTAAAGAATTTTTTGTACTAAATTGCAACCTTTAATACACGATTTGTCTATATCGCAATCTCCGGCCGTCGGAGGTCTATTTTTCACCGGAAAAGCAAGCATGCCACACACACGTACCGAATTGACCGCGCGTCGCAACGCGGCAAAATTAATATTTATATTTTCCTTAACCGACTTCTACCAACTAGTAGTAGTAGTGAGCAAGGGTCGATCTCACAGGGAGTGTGAATCAAATCGTGAATTTTCTCGTATTAATTGAATTATAAAAGCAATAAAAGAGGGGGATATTTTGAATTAATAACTCAATTAACTAAAATCCTAATGAAGCAAATAAAATCTAAACAATGAAAATAAAAATAAAAATAATAAATGAAGAGAAAGCTTCTAGTTCACGGTTCCGTCTACACCCTCGACTGACTCGTCTAATCAATTCTGGTATCAAATCTCGCTATCTTATGAAATTACTAGCCCTAGGCAACGACACGGTCTGTTACCCGAATTCTTCCTTAATTTTAATTTAACCGCGAGACGTTCTACGATTAAACCTGACTTCTTGTACAGTCTAGAAAAACGTTTTCAAGATTTAATATAATTAGCCGCTTTACGAATTAGAAAAATAGGCTAGACTAAGTAGTGAACTCAACCGCGTTCGCTCACTTAAATAGGCCGTGTTATCCTCGGTAGTTACCATCTTCCGGTTACCTCTTATGAATTAAACACAACAACAATTACGGATTGCAGGTCTAATTCAGATGTAGATATGAAAAGCATAATCTAGGTGATCAATCTAAACAAGACTAACACATCATGGTGAATTATTCAAAATAACACAAGCAATTCCAAAAAGATATTAAAATCATCAACCATATAAATTAATCAAACATCGTCAAGTCGTAGGGTTCAACTTCCCCGGAACTAGAAAGAAAATCTAATCTAACATACTAAATAAAAAAGATAAATAAATAAAAGAGAGAGATTAATTATCTCCCTCGTGTACGGGTGCGACTTCCCTCCGCGTTTGATCGGGTTACTCGCGTATTCCTCTCGTTCTTTGTTCACGCGTCTCTGTTTTCTTTTCTGCTGTTGTGTGAATAATGTGGGCGGCTCCCTTTTGTTCTCTGTTTTATATGATGGCCTGTGATCAAGGGCTGCTCCCTTTATTTTATTAAATAAATAATGGATATCCTTCAATTGGCATATGGCTGCGTGTATGTCTTGGATTCTTTTAATAAACCAACTTCTTGGCCCAATTTCCACTAAGCAGTCCAAAATCATCCAATTAATGGGCCTTTGATCTTCTTTCACGTTTGGGCTTAAGTTGGGCTGGTGCGGGCCCGAGCATGGGGCTGAGTATGGGGTACTCCCGTATTTTGCAGGCTGGAATTTCGTTTATTGATACATCGCCTGTAAAAATGCTCCAATATCCTGAAAATAAGACATAAAAATATCATAGCACTTGAATCCATCTAATAAATAAATGGGTCGAAAAATATATAAGTGCGTTAAAATTAAGCATATAAAAATACACTAATAAATATATAACGTACACACTTTTTCCGACCAATCACGAATTTGAGAGCAAAACTGTCATTTTATCTCTCTTCATCCTTTCTCTTTCATCCTCTCTCTCACACTCTCTCCAGGCCGCCATAGTACCTCTCCTCCTCCTCCCTTTCACAGCGGCTGTACTCCGACGGCGGCCTAATCACCTGAAGTCCCTCATCAACCTCACAATATGCCTCGTCTCATCGTTTTGCCCCTGAAGCTTCCTTGCAGTTTCCTCGCCCACCTTGAAAACTGTCACACCCCGCAATAAGTCAGTATTTTCGAAAACCCAGCTCGCACGTTCTTTCGAAAATAAAAACAAAAATTTTACTCTGATTTTTCAAAGCTAGTAGTAAGGCGGGGTGTGACAGAAGGTGGTACCAGAGCGCAGATCTGCGTTTCTGTATACTTCCAAAGTTTAGAAAAAGCATGACCACGCCACGCTCATCTGCGCCGACTCTGAGGTAAGTCACCTGACTCAGTTTAAGTTTTGCAAGTGCTAAATTCAGTTCAAGTATGGGGCCTAGATAACTATCCTTCTATAAGAAAAGAAAGAACTCTAGATGTAGAACTCTAGAAAGATAAACTAAGACGAGAACTCTAGACAGAACTCTAGAACAGCTAAGTCCAAGGACTCTAGACTAAGTCAGAACTCTAGTACGAGCCAGAACATAGAAAGTGTAAGTATACCGGAACTCTAGCCAAGCTAGGTGTTTTCGGATATCATTTATTTGATTTTATTATTTCAAGAGTAGTATGGCTATTTCTTAATCGGCTATACTAATCAATTCAAGCGTTTCCAGAATTTCAAAATGGCACCGCGTAGAGATCCCCAGGCACCAGTTGAGCAGGACCAGGCTGTTGTGGTCAGCCGATTCTGTACCTATGATCCGCCCCGTTTCACT